TTATATATATATATATATATATATATATATATATATATACCACATCTTCTTTATCCATTCATCCATTGATGGACATTTGGGCTCTTTCCATACTTTGGCTATTGTTGATAGTGCTGCTATAAACATGGGGGTGCATGTGTCCCTTCGAAACAGCACACCTGTATCCCGTGGATAAATGCCTAGTAGTGCAATTGCTGGGTCGTAGGGTAGTTCTATTTTTAGTCTTTTGAGGAACCTCCATACTGTTTTCCAGAGTGGCTGCACCAACTTGCATTCCCAAGAATATTCTTTTTTTTTTTTAATGTTTATTTATTTTTGACAGGGCAGGGGCAGTGAGAGAAGAGAGAGAGGGAGACACAGATTCCAAAATAAGACCCAGGCACAGAGCCTAATATGAGGCTTGAACTCAGAAACCAAGAGATCATGACCTGAACCAAAGTTGGATGTTTAACCGACTGAGCCACCCAGGCGCTCCAGTTCTGGGTAATCTGAGATTCACACACTGGCAGATCCAGTGTCTGGTGAGGCCCCACTTCCTGGTTCATAGACAAACATCTTCTTGCTGTGTCCTCACATGGTGGAAGGGATAAGGGAGCTCTCTGGGGTCTCTTTTATAAGGGCACTAATCTCATTCATGAGAGCTCCACCCTCATGACATAAATCACTTCCCAAACTCAAGCTCACCATCTCCCAATGCAACACCTTGGAGATTAGGTTTCAACATACGAAATTTGGGGGTACACAAATATTCTGTCTATAGCACTTCTCTTTATAGGGCTTCTCATAAAATACCATGGTGACCTGAATTTTTTAATTTTACCTGAGGTTAATCAAAGTTTAAGACAGTATTTCCTAAAATTCTCTTTCATCTATCTTCTTGCTCACCATCTCCACTGTCATTGCCTGAGTTTAGACCTCATCAAAATTTGCCCAGAGGACTGACCAACAAATCCTAAGGGGTAACCCCTGTCCAGTCTGCTACCTTCCCAACCATTCCCTGTATTCAATGACATTTCTGATGTGTGCCAATATGCTTTTGTAATTCTTCTGCTTAAAACTAGTTGTGGGTTTCCTTTTGCTCACAGATTAAACCAAAACTCTTTAGAGTGGCACAAGAGACCCTGTGAAGAAATGAAGTGCACTGAAGTCCTTTGATATTGTGCTTTACAGTAAGAAATACATATTTGGTCTTTGTCCCCATTTGTGGCATAGAGCTCCTAAAACCCTTGGAATTTCCTAATAAGAGGGTTAGAGTTGTCTTGATACCTCTAACAAATCCTTTTCAATCACACTTGAATTTATATTAATGAAGTGACTTTTGGAAAGCACAGAGGATGGGGGCTGATTTCCAGAGGAACCAATCAAACGATTAGACAGTTGGAACCTGCAGTGCCATCCCAACCTCCTGGGAGCGGAGAGGGGCTAAAGGTAAAATCAATCACCAATTGCCAGTGATTTAACCAACTGTGTCTGTGTACTGAAGACTCCATAAAAGTCCAAAAAGGATGAGATTGAGAGCTTCCAGGATCATGAACACTTGGAAGTGTTAAGACAATAAATGGTGCACTCAGAGAGGGCACGGAAGCTCCTGCTCTTTTCCCATTCCTTGCCCTACGCCTCTCTTCCTTTTGGCTCTCCCTAATATCCTTTTTATAATAAACTGTTAAACATAAGTAAACATTTCTCAGGGTTTGGTGATCCACTCTAGTAAATTACTCAAACCCGAGGAGAGAATTGTAGAAATCTCCAATCTATATAGCTCATCAGTTAGAAGCCCAGGTGACATTCTGGACTTGCAATTGGCATCTGAGGTTGGGGACAGTCTTGTAGGACTGAGCTCTTTACCTATAGGATTTGACACTATCTCTGGGTAGATAGTGTCAGAAATGATTTAATTGCTTGATGGTGTGGGCAAAGACACACATGATGAATCCTTCTCTGAAGTATTTTTCCAGATCATTCAGAATTCAAAAAGAAAAACCACTGTAGATATTTTAAGCAGAAAAGGATTTAATATACAACTAGGTGTTTATTGGGGTGCCTGGGTGGCTCAACTGGTTATGTGTCCAACTCTTGATTTGGGCTCAGGTCAGGATCCCAGGGTCACGGAATTGAGCCCCACATTGGGCTTTGCATTGAGCGTGGAGCGTGCTTAAGATTCTCTCTCAGGGCGCCTTAGTGGTTCAGTTGGTTGAGTCTGACTTTTGCTCAGGTCATGATCTCATAGTTCATGAGTGTGAGCTCCGCATCAGACTCTGTGCTGACAGCTCAGAGCCTGGAGCCTGCTTGGGATTCTGTGTCTCCCTCTCTCTCTGCCCCTCCCCCACTCACACTCTGTATCTCTCTCTCTCTCTCTCTCTCTCTCTCTCAAGAATAAACATTAAAAAATTTTAAAAGATTCTCTCTTTGTGCTTTTCTCCCCTGCTCATGTACTCTCTCTCTAAAAATAAAGATAAAGAAATTAGGAGTTTATTAAAGTTGGAAGGGCTTGAGATATAGGTGAATCTCCAAGAATGACATCAGAAACTGGCCTGCCAGGGAAGATGATACCTTTGCCAAAATTAGGAAGGTAGGGAATTAGAACACACTATTATGACTACAATCTTGGTGTTAGGAAGCTGCTGCTACTACCATGACAACTGAAGAACCACGAAGCTAGCAACTAAATGCTGGAATGCTGTTGCAGAAAAGCTCCACAACTTTGGTGGAAAATAGCCAAAAGCATCAGCCTCTGCCTCAGTTTCACGTCCTAAATCTTGAGTGGTATATGTAATTGGTGGAACTTAATTTGCATCCAGACCTCTGGATGCAAGGGAATCTCGGGAAGTAGTCTTTGGCTGTCCAGGAAGACAAATAAAACAGAAGGTAGGAATGGATGCTAATTGCTCATCTACCATACTCAACACACCTTTCTTTTGCCTTTTGTTATTCTTAGATTTTCCTTTATTATCCAGGGTTTCTGCTCTCTTCCCTCTGTCCACAGCTCACCAACTTCACAATCTTTAACTTTCTGGTACCTCATCTACTACCTGTTCCTGACATGTTTTTGTTACTCAAGACTCACACCTACTTCTTCTCACTCTATATTCTCTTTCAGGACAACTTTATGCATCAATATATAAAAATTCCAAAACCATAATTTCCAGCCAGGCTTATTTCACACACAGTACCCATATATCCAATTGCCTACTGAATCTCTGTGTAAATATGTAATAGGCACCTCAAGCTCAACACATTTGAAACCAAACTGGTCATATCATATCCTCAAAGCTGCTCTGTCTCCTGATTTCCCTTATTAAATGGTGACATAATCTGTCTTATTTCCTGAGCAAGGAACCTAGAAGTCATTGTGGACTCCTCCTTCTTCCTACTTCCCATGTCTAGTCAATCACCAAGTGTTGAAAATTGTACTCATTAAATATCTCTCATATCCACCCATTCCTACTATTATCTCCAACTTGAACTCCTGCAAGGGCACCTTAACTGTTTTCTTGTTTCCTATATTCTTGTCCTTCAATCCGTCTTCCCTACTGTATTCAGCAAGCCTTGGTCCAAAAAATACATAAAATCTCTTAAGACCCTTATAGTTCTCCATATCCTTATGATGGAGTCCAGAGCCATTAATATGGTTTCCAAGATCCCCAAATTAATATTCAACTTGTGTTTATGTATAGAGCTAGTTACATTGGCTGTTTAAATTCTGAAATTCTCCCATAGTTTGGAAATACCTTCCCTACGTCTTCACTAGCTATCAACTAAAGAGTTAATGCTGAATCTGGTCTGACCAGTTGGTTCTTATGCCAGTCTTCTCAAAAGTACAGACTACTGGACACTGTCATTGGCTTCCACCATAGTTGGCTCAATGCCTGTATCTTGGTGCTCCCTTTCCCCTCAAGCCCAGGTGGGTGTTGCTTGGAGATCATTCTGGTTTCTTCAGCACACCAGCCCAATATGCTTCCCAAGTGCTAGTCCTTATGCTGACCAAGTCCTCTAACCAGGGTGTTCCCAAGTTCTGTGGCAGGAGATAACATTGGCCCTGGAAGACATGCTGGCACCCCAGGGTCCTCTGAGGCTGTGGCTAACTACCACAGGGCAGTGTTCCCTCACATTAACCCTCACCTGGCCACACGTGGGAACTCCAGCCTCCACTGGAATTGGGTTCCCAGATAACAGGGGTGAAAAGTGGGAGAACAAATGGGTGGATGGTAAAAGGTCCCCACAGGTTGTGGTCAGGTTCCAAGCAGGGTTTCCTCAGGAATGCTGGTCACTCCTGAGATATATGGACTCCCTTAGGAATGGTTTGGAGACCAGTGTGAAATTCATCCCTGTTGAAGTCCTCGTACATTTATTTAAGGCCTTGGTTAAAACCCACCTGATGTCCACCTGTCTTGAGAATTTACAATATTAATTTTATTACTAAAAATGAGTACTAATGCTACTGGTATATTAATTCAGTTGAGGACTATAGATCTCATAATCTCCATTTTATGGGTGAGAAAACTGAAGAACGGAGAGGCTATCTAACACCCAAGTGGCTGAGCCAGGATTCTAAATTCACAGCTCAGTATGTAACTGCCAACTTGAGCCTCTCATCTAGACTGGAGGATTAGGTTAGACTGAAGTATGTTATTCCAGTATACAATTTTCATGAGTTAGTCAATACAGAGTCAATACGAAAATTCTAACACAGTATTATATAGGCTAAGAAATTTTGTTGATTGCTGCCAGTTCAGCAAATGCTGAGAAAAATTCTGCATCCTAAAAAATATCATTTAAGTTAAGTGAATTACCTATCCTCTTACACCGAGCTCTCTCTGTTACTTAATGTCCAGCAACTTAATGGGAAACATCTTTGGAAAAGTTTTATCATGACTGTGGCACATCATTTATGCACTGGTAGGTACAGCAAGCAAAAAAACCGCACATCTACGAACAATTCGTACTATTATTTAAACCTCTTAGCAAGGAAGAGGTTGAATAATATCTACAATTTAGCCTAGTGAGAGAATAAAATGGAATGCACCTTGGGTGAATGTGATGACTGAGCTGTATTCATGCTCAGTGGTTAAATACGTGCACGTCACTCCTGCACAAGGCCTACACAGCCCTGCCCCACCGTCTCTCAGACCTCCAGCAATGCTGAAAGCTTCAGTTCCTCAGGATTCTCCTTTCTTCTTGAAACATTCTTCTCCCTACAACCTCAATTCTGAGCAACAGCTTAAGAATCACTTCCTTAGGGAGATCTTCCGAGACCTCTGGGATAGATAAAGTCCTCTAATTAGTTACACAATAGCAGAACTCCCTGAACTTTGCCCAGGAAACCTCACCAGTCATTATCATTGTCACTAATCCTGGCCTGTCCTTCTTGTGAGGCTATAAGCCCAAAGAGGGCAGGATGACTTTAGCCCTGCTTCCTGCTGCATCTCCAGGGTCCAAGCAGATGCCCCTAAATGAAAGAGTTGCTCCCACAGCTGTCTGTTGAATGGACATCTGTACGTGGTCCCTACATTTACCTTCAAGTTAGTAGAGTATGTAGATTCTTAAATTTTTATTTTATTTTGAGAGAGAGAGCATGTAAACAATGGAGAGGGGCAGAGGGAGAGAGAGAGAGAGTGAGAGAGAGAGAGAGTGAGAGAGAGAGAGAGAGAGAGAGAGAGAGAGAGAGAGAGAGAGAGAATCTTAAGTAGGCTCTATGCTCAACACAGAACCCGACTCAGGGCTTGATCCCATGACTCTGGGATCATGACCTGAGCCAAAATCAAGAGTCAGACACTCAACCAACTAAGCCACTCAAGCGCCTCTGTAGATACTTATTTTTAAATTGACTACTAAAACTTTACAAAAGTTAACCTCAAATGGTTTTTTGAGGGGATTAAAATCGGGATTGGACCTCCAGGTTCTTGCTAGGAGTCTTGCCAAGAGCCTTTCTCTAGGCCTGATTGTTTAATTGACAGAGAAGGACTTCTCATTATTCTTAGATTTTCTTTTATTGTCCAGGGTTGCTGCTCTCTTCCCTCTGCCTAAAACTCATCATCTTCTGAATCTCCATATTTGAGCTTGGGCAGGCCTCTCATGTTGGTTGGACTGGGGCAGCATTTTGATCAACAGACCTTTGCTTGCTGTTTTGTTTTTTTAAAACATGCAAATATTGTATTTGGTTGATCTGTGATTAAACAATTCTTGAGAGTTAAAGACCTCAGCTTCTTGGTGATCTCATAAAGTTTCCACAGACTGTGTGTCATTCATAACCTAAGGAACTGGAAGGAAACCCAACTTTAAAATGCAGTTCCCAGTGATTTCAGCCTGAAAGGTGATATGTCTGTTTTTCTAACATCTCAAAGTCACTGGAATGTGCATTGGCAATATTTCTAGACCAGATTTCTGGGGAACTGGCTCACTTGCCTAAGACACACAGTTAAGTTAAAGACACTAAAATCTCAATAAGACTCTTGGCTACTCCACTTCAACTACATAGATGCTTCTTTGGAGACTAGCGTATGTATTAGCTGACATAAACAAGCATAAGTCCTGGAAGAAAAGTATCATCTATCCGATATTAGAAGCTTCTAAGAGGGTCATTAAGAGTATCATAAACATTATATGTGTTCAAACCATTGGTTGATATAGTTCAACACTCATTCATTCATTCAACACATTTCATACCTAGGGGCTATCAACTAGGCTCTGAATTAAGCCCACAAGAATTAGACACAATCTCTGTCCAGTTGGGCAAACCATGAGAGTGTGTTGGGAGAGGGTTCCACTGGTGAAAGGAGTGATCAGCATTGACCTGGAGGAATCAGGGAGGGGGTGCTACCCAGAAGAGGCTCCATTTAAAGTGTGTCTTGAAGAATTCACGGTAGTTTATCAGACTTAGAAGAAAGTGGCAAGGGACTCTTAAGACAACAGTGTGGCAAAGGCATAGCATTGAGAAAGAGCACTCCGCATTCCAGAAACATGTAGGAGCTTGATGTGCCTCGAACCCAGGTGTCTCTAGAGGGGCACCAGAAACATCTCTGAGGGAACATGGTGTCTTCATAGGCTGACCTTAATAACCATTACATCCAATATCCGTGAATTTACTTAGCCTTTTCTTGGACCCATTTTTTATTATTTTCATCTGTAACACCTTAGGGGGCAATGAGTTCCACTTATACGCTACAGGCTGTGTAAAGATGTACTTCCTTTTAGTTGTCCTTAAATACTTCCTTAAATGATCACCAGCAGGGTCATTTTTTTCCTCTTGATAATTATAGCATTTTGGTACTCCCACCTAATCCCCAGGCATCACATAGATAAAGAATGAATTTGAAAGGCACCATTGAAATCCTGGCTGGGGTAACTATGCCCACCTAAAAGCCCAAATCTACTCCACTTACTTCCACCTGACACCCACAGGCTGCATGCTGCTTTTTTGTAACTCTTTCCCTCTCTGATGACCTCCCTTGATGTTACTGTTGTTCTTTTGTTTTAAAAATAAAACCAGAAAATCAATTTATTAATATGCAAGAAGAACTAGATCTGCTACGTGACTCAGGGTAGCTGGAAAAGGACATTCTCCCCATGTAGCCAGGAAGCATCTGAGCCTGGGCTGATGGCTAGTAAGGATCTAGATACTGAATGGTGCCAGATGCTGACAGGCTGTAGTGTCCATCTCCACAATAAGGACACACCTGGCACCTAGACTAGACTGGCCCTGTCTGAGGCCTGCCTGCGCTTGCCCCCAGTGAGGTCTGGGAAGGGCCTTGCCAAGGTGAGATACTGGAGGGTCACCTGCTTCTGCTCCCATAAAGATACAGATGTTACAGGAAGGGAAAAGTTCTTATAGGTAGAATAAAAGATGGTTTCGTAACAATTTCCATCCTGCCCCAGAATCCTCTGGGACCCTGTCTTGAAACAGGGTGCTTTTAGCCAGAGTCATTCTGAAATTTTCAAAGGAAGGGACAGAGAAATCTAGTCTTAAAGAATGCCTGGAATAAACTGTCAGCACCTCATGTTTGACTTTCCTCCTCCTGCTGAGAGAACAGAACTTGCCTGGATCTGCTCTGGGCCCTTTCCTCTTGGTTTTTCCTTTCTTCTTGGCTCACTTCCCCTGGGCAATGCCATCCACTCCCCAGGCAGCAGAATGGAGAGGCTGAACAAAGAGCACAGGGGCAAGTCTGATCCCAAGAGAAGGAGGGAGGGAGGGAAGGAAGGTGGGTGGACACAGCTTAGACCAGCCAGCAATGTAAGGGCGTTTGATAGGGCTGTGGGGGTATCCTCAAGCCAAGGTGGCATCAGAGGAGTCCTGGCTTCCAAGGAACAGGCTGCCATGATCGGTCACTGGCTGGGAGTGCCTATGGGAGGCACAGCCTCAATACATGGGGATGGATTTCAGAGAGCAGCATCTGGGCCTTGGGCAATTAAATTCCCTCAACTTAGAGATCTGTGAGGACCATGCTTTTGGCTGTCATACCTGAAGTCCTTGTCAACTCATCCCCACCTGGCCAGCTTGTGAAACTTCTTCAAGTTTGAAGGTCATATCCTCACAGAAATTGTCCCAAACCTTGGGACTGACCTGGCTTCCCTGTTGTTATAACATATAACTTCACTGGGAGTTCCAGTTTATTATCCAACTCCCTGAAAGCACTCTGAACTCCAGGAGGACAAGGACTGTGCCTATATCATTACCAACCACATCCGCAGTACTTGGCAGTACTGGTGCCTGGAAGATACTCTAAGTGTTTGCTGAGTGAATGACTGACTGGCCACTGGTGCAGATGAGATAGCTCAAATTGTCCAACAATCTTGGTTTCAGAAAATAGGCTTCGTCTGAAATGCACTGTTCTAGATCTAAGCTTCGCCTGTATGGGGCATTTTCCATTTCCAGGCTGAGTTTTCAGAGCAGTTGAAGAAACCCCTTGAAGGAAACAGTCTGAGTCAGAGCAATGTTCCTGAGTCACAAGGGCGCAGTTGCCTGACTGCACCTGAGAATCCAGTCTGGACCAAGAGAGGTGGAGACAAACGGAGAAAGTGGAAACGTAGGCCCCAGTCCTGCTTTGATCACCAACTATCTTGCATTTCCTTTCTGAAACCTGTGTTTGTACGGCTTTTCCTCCTTGGGTTAAAAAGAGCCCTAAAATACATAATAGACATGAGAATGTGTCAGCAAGTTCTGATGCCAACCCAAACCTGGATTGTATTATGTTGCTATTGTTTATAGACTACATGTTTCAGGATGAGGATCATATGGGGAAAAGTGAGTGAAGGGAAGATGCCGATTAGGATGTTAAGACACTGCAAGATGTTTTGAGGGGAGGTTGTACCTTGGAAAATAGCACAGGGGTTCAGAGAGGATGGAGTTGCCTAAAGAGAGATTAAAAACTGCCCAATGTGTAAGGAGGGATGTATAAGCCATACGGGTCCATTCACAAGATTTTGCATCAGGTACAAAAATAGGACCCTAAGGTGAGCCTGGGTGGCTCAGTCAGTTAGGCTTCCATCTTCGGCTCAGGTCATGATCTCACGGTTTGTGGGTTCGAGCCCCGCATTGGGCTCTGTGCTGACAGCTCAGAGCCTGGAGCCTGCTTCAGATTCTGTGTCTCCCTCTCTCTCTCTCTCTGCCCCTCCCCCACTCGTGCTCCGTGTCTCTTTGTCTCTCAAAAATAATAAATAAGTGTTAAAACATTTTAAGAAAAACACAGGACCCTAAAATGATCACATATTTTCAACTAAGACTCTTCATTGGGAAAAAATGGGGGCAATTCTGTGGTATGAAGTGGCACTTCCTGACAGAAGTCTGTCTATTCATTTAAGATGCTCAGAACTGTGTCCCTCAAGATGTCTAAAAAGCCTCAGCCAAGTTGGCCACAGTCCCAGGAAACATTACACGCTGCTGAGAACCATGTGTGTTGGCGACGGCCGCACTCATGCTCCGTGCACAGACCAGTTCAACCTCAGCCCACCAGGGATGACCTTCAGGGGCCCTTCTCTGTTTGCAGAGCACCTCAGGACACGAGCACCTTCCTCATGCCGGGAATGAATTGCTGAACGCAGGGAGAGCTGACTTCAAGCCTTGGCTTCACCAAGTCAATTCTGTGACCTCAGGCTACTTCCTTAAGGGCCACTTTTTTGTCTACAAGCGGGGCGGAGCTGCTGCCTCCTCACAGGTTCGCAGTGAGGATTCCAGATAACGTGCGTCATGTCTCTGGCACACAGCAAAGGCTCAACAAATGAGAATCATTATTACTTACCTTAGTGGGCTGTGGAAAGCAGACCCGGACTGGGACCCTAGTTTTGCCACTTGGTAGCTTTTGGAGGCTCATTTTCCTTCTTTGTACATTGGGCAAAACACTACTTAACCTTCGGCGGTGGCAGAATTGGAAGAATTAATTTAGCAAAGGCACCTAATCAGGTTCCTGGCACACAGTCGTATGCAATAAAAGTTATCTGTTACGATCATTTGTAGATAAACAGAATGAAAATTCTTGATGTTGGTTTGTACAGAGCAAGTATGTGTAAGCAGAACAAGCCAATTTGAATTATTCTGTGAGAAATACATTGTCTTCTAAAACAGGTAGCCTTACTTCCCCAGGTTAGACCAGTTCTGGACCTGTGGGGAGCAGAGGCTAGGGACTGGCACAGCGCCCCGAAGGGTCGGCCCCTCTCCGCCAACCTATGGGGTCCTCCTTCATCTGTCCATTTTCCAGGAGACGTTTGCTCCTCCTGCCTCAGGTCCCCTGAGGAGAGCGGGAGCAATAGGTCACCGTTATTTAAACTGCCACAGAATTTTCAGACCATGAGACTCTCGTCTCTCTCCAGTTGGGGCTGGCCCATCCCCAAGAGGGAAGGAAGCCAGGAGGGGGAGGAGGTTATAGAACCATTTTATATCCGTCCTGTTTTTAATTGATTTCACAGCAGGAGAAGAAAAACCAGAATCCTTCCCACATAACCTTTCAATGTGGGAGTCCTCCTCTGGTCGGGAAACCCATCTGGAAAGAGCCACAGCAGGGCTGCAGGTTCTGTTTTCCTCCCCAGTGTTGGAGCCCTGGCAGCGCCCTCCCTGAGGGGTGCCTCTGTGGGTCCCCTGTGCACCTCCTTCGCACACTCACTTGCAAACGGGGGTAGCCCTGCCTCTTCCCTGGTCTCCAAATGGGACCAAATCTTTCTTCCTTAGGTGCAGCCCATGTGTCAGCTAGGGCTGCTAGTCCATGTCATCTAGGTACGTTGGCCCAACTCCACAGCCCATGCCCTGGGGGAGCCAAGTCCTCCTGGGATTCCTGGGTGGGGTTAGGGGTGGCTAACATTATGTAATTACACTTGGTCTTTCTAGTTTTCAGCGTCTCGTTCCATAAGCATGGCCCTCAAAACAGTGTGTGAAGTATTCTTTGTCAGGGTTTGGTGGTTGTAAAGAATGGCCACATAACACTACAGAGAAAAAAAAGTCAACATGCATGTTTAAGACTTCCATTCCTAGAAGATGGTTTGGCCATCCGGCCGTGGGTGTACGTGTGTGTGTGTGTGTGTGTGTGTGTGTGTGTGTGTGTGTGTGTGTTGGGGGGATTCTCTGTATTTATTAAATGTTTTTAAATATCAACTCTGTCTCTAGGGAGGAGAACTGGGTGACTAAGGGACTAGGAGACAGGGAGACTTTGTATACATTTTTATCCTTTCGAATTTTACACCGTTTACACGTATAACAATTATGTGCCTGTACGTGCAAACATGCACGCATATACCATATCCCTTATGCTCTCTCCCTACTCCATGCCCCTATTCCTTTCTCTCTGCAGAGACAATCCTTCAAGGAATAATTTCAAAAAGTCTTCTGTTCCCAATTTACCAATGCCTCAGTAGTTCCTTCTACCTGCTCTGAACCCTGACAGAATTTCCCATCAGTCTTACTATGGTTGGGACCTACTCACAAACTGCCTCATAGTGTAACCTCCTAGCATAACTGCCTGCCTCCAGAAGATAGCCCTCGTCTCTCATCAGTTGCTTAAGCATAGACTGGCAATAGATTCGTTTCTTTGGATCCCTCACAGAACATAACTGAATCAAAGAGTTAGAGGCGAAGGCACAACTAGACAAGTCTGAAGGACAAGGGCATGGCTAACACAAAATGCCTTTGGAACCTACAACAAGTATCTGGTTTAAGCTCTTGCTGCTTCCAGGACCAGGTGGAGTTGGTAGCAGTGAAAAGCTGCTTGTCATTGGACTACTACTGTTCTCTCTTCCATTGCAACCAGAAGATCAGTTGGGTCTCTTCCAGGGGATGCATTTTGGACAAAGTCAGATATAGGAACATGTAACCCTATGGACAATTGTGGACTAGGTGTCTGAGGCTAAGACTTTCACAATTTTTTCTTTTTTTAATCAAAAAAAAAGACTAAACAGAAAATATCTTATGAAGCAAATGGTCTTAACCAAACCTTTCTTCTAAATAAGGGAAAAGACAGCAAGTGGGAGGAGAAGGCCAAGATGGTGAGGAGGGAGGGTGAGAAGACCCCAAGCACCAAGGTCTCTCATTAAAAAGGCGTCTTTCCTGACATCTTACAGGGAAACTACTCCTCTCTTTGGAAGATGGAACCAGAAAAGGAAACCGCCCTACACCTGTAGCTGACCTTTGCAATAGGTACTGGGAGAGGAGGGGGGCCCCACCTCCCAAAGACCTAGAGGCTTTTAGGGTGCTCCCTGCCCTTACCTGTTTAGCATCAATAGTCATGCCCCTCATTTTGTGCTGCTACCACAGGAAGCTTCAACTCTAAACCTAGGCCTGTGGGAGCTGCCCCAGTTCCAGGCTCACAAGGCAAATGGCTACATCCTTGCTGCCTCAGGCCTCCTCAAAATACATCTTCCAGGAACCGAGAATCCATCCTGCTCCACAAGGAAACATGTGAGCGTCAGCCAGACACCTTCTCTTCTATCATCTCCCACAGTCCTTCCATGTCTAATTCCTGAAACCCCAGATGTCTTCTTCAGGAGCCCAAAATAAAGTCTCAACTGTTTCATGGTCAAACCCGCATCTGTCTGGGATTAGCAGAACAGCTACTTTGCACCCCCGCGCCACCCCTCACCCCTGTCACCTCCCTCCACTCCCAAGGGTCTCCCTCTTCCATTTCTGGGAATCCCTGAAGATGCTGTGAGGGTGAGCGTGTGTCACTTTATCTACCACTTGAGTCTCCAGTGCTGCGGTCTGGGGCCCCCAGTTCATCTCACGCTGCCTCCCATAACTTGGCTAGCCAGGATGTGCTGTTTTACTAAAGGAACTCGCTTCAAGTGGCAACATGGCACCTCCCCCATCCCCACCCATCATTAACTCCCCAGTCTAGGACAGGTGACAATATGTCCTGAATGTCTGGGGAATAACAGAAGGGGATTGTTGTGTTCCTTGGAGTCACAGGCCCTGGACCCCCAACCTTAAGGCCATGTCTACCTCCTATCAGTCTCCTGTATCTCAATAAGATTATTTAGAAGATATCATGCCAATGCTGAGTGGATCCCCCTCCCCAACCCCTCTCCCCAGAGAACAGGGAGTGTTGCCCCCTACTCCCAGACTCAGGTCTGCTCATGCTGACTCAGCCCACCTGGCCCTGGGAATCTCCATTTCCTTCAAGAGAAATCCCCTGAGAAGTTCTCCAGAGCTCAGATAAGACAAGTGCACTACTCAGCCTTGCACTGCCTGCACTATACTAATTTACTCACCATGGGGGGTGTGGTAGGCAGAATAATGCACCCCTGCGCCCAAGACATGCACATCCCAATACCAGAACCTGTGAATTCATTAGGTTACATGGCAAAGGGGAATTCAGGTTTCAGATGGAATAAAGCTTGCTAATTGGCTGACCTTGAGTAGAGAGATTCCCCTGGATTATGCACAGTACTGGCTTTGAAGATGAAGGAAGGGGCCATGTGCCAAGGAATGTAGGTGCCTTAGAAGTAGAACAAAGAGGGAAGCCTGGGTGGCTCAGTCGGTCAAGCGTCTGACTTTGGCTCACGTCATGATCTCGTGGTTTGTGAGTTCGAGCCCCGCATCAGGCTCTGTGCTGACAGCTCAGAGCCTGAAGCCTGCTTCTGATTCTGTGTCTCCCTCTCTCTCTGCCCCTCCCCCACTCAAGCTCTCTTTCTCTCTCAAAAAATAAATAAATAAATAAATAAATAAATAAACATTAAAAAAAGAAAGAAAGAAATAGAGCAAAGAGTCTCACAGCCTCCAGAAAGAAACACAGCACTGCTAACTCCTCCATTTTCTCCCCGGGAGAACCATGATAGATCCTGACCCAGGGATAGGATACTGTTAAGATAATAAATTTGTGTTATTTTAAGCCATTAAGTTTGTAGTGGCAGCAGACAGGAAACCAATACATGGGGGTTACAAATAATTTAGTCTAAATCCTTACTTCAGGAATTTTTTTCTCTAATTTCTTACCACTTTGCATCTCACTCTGCAGTGGTCACAGTCAGATGTATGATGTCTGTATCACTTGTTCCAAGAACAACCTGCTTTACTTTGATGTGAATAACGATTTCATCCTGGTGATTTCCTCGAAAACAAGAGAATCTGTTCCAAAATTAGAGGTCCATCTCCAGAAACCCAAATGGCAGTGCCCATACTACAATAATACACACTTTGAGTTCCTCTTTTCTAGACACTGATAAAGAAATCACAGCAGTCCTCTCTCTAAGCCATCTTCCTGCCACTCCACTGCCATTAGTGGGGCTCAAGCCAGTTCTGTCTCTTGCCTGGAAAACTGAGACAGCCTTCTTCTGTCTCCACTGCTCCTCCCAACACTATAGTTGAAAGAGTCTTTGTAGACGTTGACCATCCCTCTGTTGACAAATGTTCAATGGGCCCCATTGCCCTTAGGATAAAGCACCGGGCTCTAACCCGGTCCCTAAGCCTCTGCACACTCAGCCCAGCCCACATTTCTGGCCTCATTTCCAGCACACGCAGAGCTATTACCAGAGTCATTCTAGCAAACGTGTGGTCAAGGAGCAGGGAAGTGTTGAGCTGTGGGATGGGCTATGCAAAGCAGAGTCCCACAGTTTTGAGGATTCAAATTTGTAGGACATAGCTATGGCTGGTGCACACTGAATTGTGCCCCCACCCCCACCCCCCGCAAATTCATATGCTGAAATCCTAACCTCTGGTACTCCAGAATGTGACTTCATTTGAAATAGGGTTGCTGCAGACGTACTTAGTTAAGATGAAGTCACAGTGGAATAGGGTAGGCCTCCAAGACTGGTATTCTTGTAACAAGGAGAAATCTGGATGTAAACACATACACACACAGGGAGCAAACCACATATAGACTACAGTCACACTGCCACAAGCCAGCGAACACCAGAAGCTCGGAGAGAGACCTGGGCCACATCCTTCCCTGATGCTTTCAGAGGAAGTGTTACCCTTCTGACTTCTGAGGTTTTGTAACCTCAGAGGTGATAAGTTTCTGTTGTTCTAAGCCCCCCAGTTAGTGGCATTTTACCATGGCAATCCTGGGGAACTAATCAAGTGACCCTACTGGCTTCTCATCACCTACAGATTTCTCCAGCATTCCGGTACACACAGCTCTGCGTGTGGAAACGCGTACACTGAAGGAAGGATATATGAGTGTAGAGAAGTTTGCATTTCCCGAAGTCCACCCAGTTTGTTGAAATGAAACACGCCCTTTACACTCACAGGGCTTCTCAACGCCCTGAAAACCAGTTGCTAAGAAGAATTCATTAAAGGATACACATTAGTCAATTTTGCCCTCCATGAGTGGGTTTGTTCTCTCCCTCCTTAGAGATAATGAAGACGACTCAGTAACAACTCTGTATTCTCAAAACATCCAATGTTCCAATGAGAACAAGGCATGGCTTTAATCTCTTGCCTTCGCTCCTGTTTCTTACTTCTGCAAAGTTTGCCCCAATCCTTGTGTTCTCTTAATTAAAACCAAAACTGACTCGACTGTTGAGTCCCAGTTAATAAGAGGTGAGGCCAGCTTGGCATGTCTGTGTTCTGAAAACTGCCCTGAGCAAAATGTGTGTGTGAGAACAGTCGGCCAGGGGAATGGCAAAAACAAGCCGCCCCTCCCTAGCCAGGATGGCTGTTTTTTGCATGGGATACAGGAGGCTCACTTCCACGCAAGTCCTAGTGTCCTAGGAAGCAGAAGAGGCTGGACCCAAGACCCTGTTGCTCTAGGTGGGTAGGGTGGGGTCAAGTCTCGAGGAACTCATCAGACTTGACCGGAGGCTGCAAGCCCTGAGGATGATCTCTAGGTGGAGAAAAGCCTAGGGATGAGCCAGGCTTGGGCAGAAGGAGGGGAAAGAGCTAAAAGGAGTGAGGGAGAGGCTGAGGGGAAAACCGTGGTGGGGCTGACAGATGCAAAGAGCTCTTCACTGTCTGACCCAGTGTCTCATGGTCTGGCCTCATACACTGTCTGTGGGATCCTCAGTCCAGCCCTTGTCAACCTGGCCAGCCAGAGGTGGGCTTGCACTCCAGGCAAGGCTGGCCTTGCATTAGAAGGACCAGAAAATGCCATGTAAGAACTTCAATAAAGCCCAACCCATGCCCCCACCTGGGCGCCTGGGTGGCTCAGTCAGTTAAATGTCTGACTAGAGCTCAGGTCATGATCTCATGGTTCGTGAGTTCGAGCCCCACATCAGGCTGCGGGCCGTGGAGCTTGCTTCGGATTCTGTGTCTCTCTCTCTCTCTCTCTCTCTCTCTCTCTCTCTCTCTCTCTCAGAAAATGAATAACACACTAAAAAATTAAAAAAAAAAAAAAAAGCCCGACCCATCCCTCAGATGTCTTCCCCACAAGCCTGACGTGTGCCCCCACTGTGTACTTTGTCCCTATAGATTTAATTTTTGTCTCGGAGTAAATAATTTAAAGCCAGGACTTCTTTAATGTTTACATACTCCAAGCATAGTCCTAAATGTCATGCATGGGTTAACTGATTTAATTTGTGTAACAGCTTTTTTTTTTTTTTAATTTTTTTTTCAACATTTATTTTTGGGACAGAGAGAGACAGAGCATGAACAGGGGAGGGGCAGAGAGAGAGGAAGACACAGAATCGGAAACAGGCTCCAGGCTCTGAGCCATCAGCCCAGAGCCTGACGCGGGGCTCGAACTCACGGACCGCGAGATCGTGACCTGGCTGAAGTCGGACGCTTAACCGACTGCGCCACCCAGGCGCCCTGTGTAACAGCTTTGTGACGTAGGTGTCATTATCATTATCTCCATAGTTCCAATGAGGACACTGAGACACAAGCAATGGAGTAATTCACCCGGTGTCATCAAACCATTAAGTGGTAGCAGTAAAATTTGAACCCAGCCTGGCTGGCTCCAGAGTCCACGTTTTTCCCATTGTGCTTCACTAATTCCCCAAATGAAAACCAGTACCTCAGGAAATTTACCACCATGGCTTTCAAAGCCTCGAGTTGCTCCCTAATTGGGGCTTTTTTAGGATGAGAGGTTGTTTTGAAGATAATTAATGAGAAACATTTGGAACCTTAACCTCTGGGCACCTGCTGTAGTCTTCCAACTGGGTTCAGTAACAATTACCATTCACACTCTCCTGCCTGCCCACACACCCCTGAGGTGTTACTGAAAGGCAAGAAGGCAGATTCCACAAATCCTAACACTCAGTCTCGTTACTTTGTAATACTGTGTGTAAAGGCAGGTCCTGTGACTGGCAAAGCTGTTACAGCAAGCACCATTACTTAATTTTTGGAAGCCAAATTAAAACACTGGATGATAGGAAAAGTAGTCTGCTTTTCATTTGAGGTTATTGGCACTTTTCTCAGGAAAAATACCAACTAAGCTGCTAAAAGCAGTGGGATTACACAATAGTATTATCACCAAAAACAACGATGGTCACAAACAGTCTTCTTGGGCAACTATTATGTGTTAACTGGGAATTACCTGCTTCATTTCCCAGTTGAGGGCACAGAGAAAATAAGGGTTAAAATGACTAACCCAAGGTTGTAACATTAGGTTAATGTTCAGTCTTAATCGTATATTAAATCACATAAAC